CATAAAGTATTCAGAAGCCACCTTCAATTTTTTGAACATTCGGAACGAAAAGGTGGGGCATCTTAAGGGCAAGGGAATGGTAAATTAGGTGCTAAATTTAGCAAAACTGCGCTATGTCATTTGAGCCTCAGGTCTCGAAAGAATAACGCAAACGCACAGTCCATCGTCGTCTCTGATGACGATTCCATCCCTCGTCTCATAGTCTAAGGTCTTCGCCAGGTAAAGGCCTCACTCTTCCTATCACCAACGTCCAAGACAGTAGGTTTACAGTTGCCTCGGTTTATATATAACAAATATATTGTAACTGAGGGTCGTTAATACTCATTAACCTCGGGGTCTTTCATACAAGTCCACTGAACCACTCCCATACGGCCACTACTTAAGATACCCGTGCAATTTCATCACTGGTGGAGCTTGTAGGCAAGACACGAAACACAATGAATTTGATTTCGGAGCGGCTTCCGAATATTCAGAAAAAAAAATAGTAAAATTACCACTATCGCCATATCGAACACAGTACTAGCAGCTAACACAGCTTTGATGAGTCCTGCATGACCAGGACAGTCAATTAAAGCAAGTCGACGCCCAGCAACGGTTAGTGAAGAGAAGCTGAATTGTGAACCATGGTGAGAAGTGTGTATATAAGTAAAACAAAAGCACAGTACCCGAGATCGAGAGTGTTTCTTCTTCCACCACTGTCGGCATGTTTGTCAAATGCCGAGGTTGACGCCATCTCGGCGAGTGCCCTCGTCAATGTCGTCTTCCCACTGTCTACGTGCCCCAGTACGCCCACGTTCAGGGACATTCTTCTCTATAATCTTGTCGAATTCTCTGAAAGTATTCATACCTGATATGACTGCAGAGCTTTGGTTGACCGCTTATCCCATTTCGGTGGGGTTGTTGGGTTGAAACCCTACTCTATCAAAAATCCTATAAATGACTTTTCTTCAGTTTTGGGAGGAACAACGACCTATTTATACCAAGCCATACTCCTTGGTACTCGTACTGGTGCGACGCTTGATTTGGCTCATCGCCAGGTCAAATAA